CGTTCCCAACTTTGGTTGTAGAACCCAGTCCCCAAGCTGAGGTGACATTGCTTAGTCACTCAGTTTTGTCTGACTCTTTGTGACTCCATGGACTGTAGCCTGCCAGGCTTTTCAAATGCCTATCCCTGGCCAAGGAGGCCATGCATTTTAAGACACTGTCACAGCGAGCTTTTATATATTTGTAGGGCTCATCTATCTTTAGCAGTGACTTACGGTCAAGTCACAGGATCCCCCAAGGAAGGAACACAGACTCTCCAGTTCACTTGTAAAGCTCAGAGCTGAGCTGGAGAAATGCAAGTGGAGGTGCAGGCAAAGAGGATTTTTTTCTGCAAGCTCATTCTCAAGTCCACTGGCCTAATCATGGGCCATGACTTGTGTCAACTGTCCTCACTGGACTGATCTGTCGATTTACTTTGTGGGGCTGGGGTTAGGCATCCATCCCAGGGGGTGTGTAGGAAAAGCATAGCAGAACTATTTTTTAATTACACAAAAAGAAAAACTTAGTTGTACTAATATTTAGTGTTGTTTGCTATTTTTACCAATATTATTCAATATTCTACAATACATATAAATGTGTAAATAAATATACACAGTTAAAAGAAAAAGCCCATTCTAGTCCTGATGATCAGACGTTTCTCTCTAGACGACCATAGAAAGGGCAGGCTGTAAGGCAGCAGGTGTGCACACAGGGTCGAAGGTCAGGACAGTACCTGCCCTGCAAGGCCCCACCCCCTGGGAAGGCTCGGGAACCCCTGCCCTCCAGGTTGGAACCTGAGCCCTTGAGGAGCCTGTTCTCCTGGCTGGAGCTGTCACTCCAGGTCTGAGTCACTATATCTGGCCAGGTGTACTGTCTGCCGGAAGAGGGTGCATCACCCCCACTTTTATGGTGGCTCAGATGGTAAAGAATCCGCCTGCAATGTGGGAGACCCAGGTTTGATCCCAGGTCAGGAAGATCCTGGCGAAGGAAATGGCAACCCACTCCTGTATTCTTGCATGGAGAATTCCAAGGACAGAGGAGCCTCTGGGGTCTACACTCCATGGGGTCGCCAAGAGTTGGACATAAGTGAGCAACTAACACTTTCCACTTTCAAGTTAACATCTACCCCCATGTGCTAGTGTCAGGAGGGTGGAGCCCTCATGAGCACCCTCATCAGAACAACCTGGGAAAAGCAGGCTCTCTCTACTATTGGAGGGTTCAGGGTAGATGTCTGCAAATGGGCAGGCCCTGGCCACAGCCCGACCATGAGACCTGGCAACCTCAGACCTCCAGCACTGTCAGGAATAAATCTGACATTTCTAAGCTGCTCAGCTGCAGTATTCTGTACAGTGACAGGAGCTGAGACTCAGCAGAAGTCTTCAGGACGTTGGTTTCAACTTTTGCCTGATCCTTGATGGCTATGGTGCTATCAGCTCAGGCTGAGAAGGTGGGGGGCTTCATCCCACATAACACAGAAAGAACAGAGGGGTCTCCACTCAGGAGAGGGTGACTTCCAGGGGTGTGGGCTCGCCAGTCAGCCGAGGTGAGGACACAGGGTGAGGTCAGGATCAAGCATGGCTCCTGGGCAGGAGGGGTGGTGGCTCCAGGATGCAGAGTTAGCTGGAACCTCCTTGAACACTGGAGGAGGCTGAGTTCTAAGCCGGGGTGGGCTGGCTCCAAGACCACGGAGTGAGGACTACGCTCGAGAGCCTCCTGGAGCCAGGGCTCTGGATGGAACTCCCAAGGAAGCCAATGGGGATGAGGACGAGGACAGTGTCAAATGAACCACTTGACACATGGAGGCCCGACTGGCACCTCCCATGGTCCTGGGCACAAGGGACAATCCTGTCCCAAGTGCCATGCCAGTCAACCCCATGCAACCCTGTGAACTACAGAGGTGAAAGCAGCCTTCCTGACTCGTGAGCCAACACTTAGAATGGCTGGATACTGTGCTTGAAGTCATGGGGCCAATAAGGATGGCCTGGCCCTATCCTGGGACAGTGGATGGAACCTGGGCCAGGTGTTAGAGCAGAAATACTAAATACACAAGTCACATACTTGCTGATGAAAAACACTGGATTCTAGGGAGCAGTTGGCCAAAACCAGACCTGTATTTATTGAAAAGTAGAATTTTAAATGAAAAATTTACAACTTTGTTACACTCTCCATCTGAAATTTGGTCTTACTATTTTGGCATTCTGGTGCTGGGTGGTAGGAACAGTGAAAGATCAGATCATCAACCAGTCAGCACATGGAAACAAAAGACACAGCGGTACAGTGCCACAGATGCTTTGGAAACGTCAGATCTTCAGGAGATATCAAGGAACAGAACTGCAAGACTTGCCCAGTTAAGAGTTTCCTTTGAGAGGCACTTTGGGAGAGCAGATGGACAGCTTGAGTGCCCAAGAAACATGAGTCTGTGGCATTCTGCAGAAGCCACGTGTGGGGATCCTGGTGGCTCTAGACTGTAAGTCACAGGCTCTTCCTGGAAAATGAAGGCACATTTAACGCAAACATGAGCAGAGTCACACAGTCCACAAACCACCAAGTGTTACTGTCCTCTAATGTCTGTGCAAAGAGGAAGGGAACTGCAAGACTTGTCCAGGGAACCTCTGGGTGTGCAGAAAGGTGACCTGACGGACTGCTGGTGATCCACACTTCAAACCTCACGGGGACCCTGCTGGATACCCCTAACCCCACCTCACGGAACCTCATAAATGCAAATCCTGATTGACTCCAGGGAGCTAGAGATCCCCCCCTCAGTTGTCTGAGATTAAAAATAATTGTCAATTACAACCATAAGCCTTAAAGAAGTTCCTTAAGCCAAAACATGTGTTTGTAGTGTGTCCTTTATTTCTTCCTGAATGGCTGTGTGTATCAGTATTTTGGCGTCCAGGCACTCTCAGCATAGAGGGACTCCTGCATGAGGCCAAGGTGGAACTTACAACAGGAAGATCCAAGAGTTGGAAGGAAGTGGGATTTCCATGACAAGGCCCAGGATCTACCTGTTTTGTCTAAGGTGATGGTGTGCTGCACTCACCTAGAGGTCCATTCTTATGTAACTGGGTACCCCCAACCTCAGATTCTTGTTTAGTTCCTAAGTTGTATCCAACTCTTTTGAGACCCCATGGACTGTAGCCCCCCAGGCTCTGTCCATGCGATGTCCCAGGCAAGAACAATGGATTAGGTTGCCACTTCCTTCTCAAAGGGATCTTTTTGACCCAGGGATTGAACCCAAATCTCCTGCACTGGCAGGCAGATTCTTTATCACTGAGTCACCTAAGCCCCATCAATTTCAGGTACCAGACACCAAATCTCTAATTTATCATCAAACATATAACAAAGGCAACAACTAACGATACAATGAACTCGCAGAGAGGTGACTCCCAAGGCCGGTGTTGTGTGTTGGGGGGTGTGTGGCCCTGAAGCCAGACCCTGGGCTTGCCACCTGCTTCAGGAGGCAGCAGCCACACCCTCGTGCAGTCACCTGTTTACTCACCTTCTCCATCTGTGTGATGGGTATGATCGCAGGACCACGTCAAGGAGCTGGGACGAGGATGCTGAGTCCAGCACAGAGGGAGAGATGAGCACACGTCTGCTGCAAGCCAGTGCTCTCTGGCTCTGTATTCCCAGGGCCCAGCGCTCAGAGGGGCTGGACAACGGCTTCCCCAGTGCATGAAAGGCAGGCAGGAGAGGGGAGAGGAAAGCTAGAGGAGAGAAGGCTAGCTGATAACAGTCTGGTAACGTATATAATTTCCAAAGAGTAATTTTAAGACCAAACTTGAGATTCTGGTTTCTCTTGGAGTCACGCTAACTAAAATTTATTATTTTAAGATACAAAAATGTGGTGGTAGAAAAAGAAAACACACAAGTAATAAGTTTGTTAGAAGTCCTCCCTCAAAACGCTCCCCTGGGGGCACTGAGTGCTCAAGCTTATAGGAACTCCTTCCCCATTGCTCAGTCCAGGCTTGGCAAAAGATGAACACACACGGGGGTCTCATCATAATACTTTTTTATTACAATATCCAAAAAATTGAGTATGCAGTTTAGGAGGTCTCAAGACCCCTTCCTCAACTGTAGGAATGTGCCATCTCAAGACTGTATATTGGAACTATAAAGGAGTTTGGATGTAAAGAAAAAAGAAAATGCCATTTCTTCATAAACATTCTGTGTCTCTTACTACCAATCACATATCCTTTTGTAAACCCTGAAAAATTTCCCTGTAAAACAAATACTATATATATATATATATATATATATATATTTTGTGTGTACGTGTGTGTGTGTGTGTGTGTGTGTGAAGTGTGGGTCGCTTCCCTCCCCAAATATCACCTGTTTTCCTTAATCATCTGCATTAGTGTCAACAAATGGCTACAGGTACATATGACTTTGAGAATTAAATACATCACTGTGAGATTGAAACGAGCCGAAGGGCAAGAGGAAAGAGCACTCTGCTGATGGCACGTCGGGGGGAAATTTCCGAAACCACCGTCTCCCCCAGTCTCCGGCCCCTCTTCTGCAAACCAGCATTCCAGGACCTCTTCTCTTTATTGCAAGCGCAGCCCCAAAGGCACTGGACAGCATCTTCCCTCCCGTCTTGCCCGGTGGTTCCAGTATTGCTAAGAGCACCCGGGGTTGTCCCCGGAGAGCCTGGGAGCCATGGGAGCACAAATGACACGGATGGAGGGCTGCTGGGGTCAGGACTAGGGGTCCCCAGGCAGGTGCCGCCTGCTCTGTGGCTCATGGACATAAGGGCAGCTCTGGTGCATCCACATGGTGCCCGAGGTCTGTAAGGGGGGGTCTGCTGGCGCGAGCGGTGTGAATGGACTAAGGCTGTCTCCCATGGAGGAGGAAAAAAGTGAACCGACTCGCTCTGTCCACCTCCCATCACGAAAACCAGCCGGGAGGGCCCGGGATGGCAAAGAGTGGGGCAGGTGGCAAATAACCGACCTGGACAAAGAGGGGACCAGGCGGAGAGAACGGGGCCTGCGAGAGAGCCCGGCCAGGGCGCCTTCCCGGGGCATCACTGCAGCGCCCGGACGAGGTAGAGCTTCTCCCCGTGCTCGCTGGTGAAGATGGGGGCCTTCTTGTAGTGCTCCACCAGCTCGTCCATGGTGTGGAAGCGCCGCTGCCCAATGCAGTAGACGTTGTCCACCAGCTGAACCTTGAAATGCTTGTTCTTCCCTGATGCTTTGAGAGACACGGAGAAGTCACTGGGCTGTGGGGGAAAGAGAACACACACGGGTTACCACTGGGCTCCGTGCACTGGCTGGGGAGCCTGGGCTCCAGTCCACACCCAGGGCAGCCACCTCCTGATCTTTAGAATCACCCGGAGGCTGGTGAGATGCTCTTGTTCTGGATCAAAGAAAAGTGACACTGTACTTAGTACTTTCAGTGTAAAATGTACTTTTGCTATTTGAAAACTGGAGACTTGTTCTGAAATGTACAGCCACGACGCTAACCAATGCACATTTTTCATTTCCCCAGCTAGTTCTTGGATTTGTAGAAAGTGGTCTGTACATAGGCAGTGGCTAGAAATACACTTCCTAGGAGCTCAGCCAACAGCATGGTGCTGGCCCAAATATAGACACCAAGGTCAATGGAACAGACAGATGAATGAATACAGAAACTGCGGTGTGTATATATATATGAAATTGGAATGTTACACAGCTATTAAAAAAAAGAATGCATGCGAATGAGTCCTAATGAGGTGGATGAACCTAGAGCCTATTACACAAAGTGAAGTCAGAAAAAGAAAGACAAATATTGTGTATTAACACATGTGTATGGAATCTAGGAAGATGGTACTTATGAACCTATTTGCAGGGCAGCAGTAGAGACACAGAGAACAGACCTCTGGGCACAGTGGGGGAAGGAGAGGGTGGGAGGAACTGAGAGAACAGCATGGAAACATACACATTACCATATGTGTTCGGCAGCCAGTGGGAATCTGCTCTATGACACAGGGAGCTGAACCCAGTGCTCTGTGACAACCTAGAGGGGCGGGATGGGGAGAGAAACAGGATGGGGCTTCAGCAGGGAGGGGACATATGTACACCTGTGGGTGATTCATGTTGATGTGTGGCAGAGGCCAACACAATATTGTAGGGTAGTTATCCTCCAATAATTGTATTTTGTTCTTTACTTCTCTATTTTGTACAATTATACTCTTTGATTAAAAAAAAAAGTCAATGGAACAGAATAGAGAGCCCAGAAATAAATCCACACTCTCAGGGTCAATTAATCTGTGACAAAGGAGGTATTCTCAAGAATATACAACAGAAAAAAGATGCTAGGAAAGCAGTGCTAGGAAAGGTGGATAACTACAAGTAAGGAATGAGATTGGAACATGATGGGTGACACATACCCAATCAATGAGATGGAAGGATGTCCCACCCTGCCCTCTGTTCAACCATTCCTGAGGGTCTCGGAGCACAGAATGGCCATGTGGAGATGCCTCTGCATCCCCAGACTGGATAAGCTCCACTCTCCCTGGCTTTGTCATTATTGTTGCTCAGTCGCTCAGTCGTGTCTGACTCTTTGCGACCCCATGGACTACAGCCCACCAGGCTCCTCTGTCCATGGGATTCTCCAGGCAAGAACACTGGAGCGGGTGGTCATTTCCTTCTCCAGGGAATCATCCCAACCCAGGAATCAAATCCACGTCTCCTGCAGTGGCACGTGGATTCTTTAACACTGAAACACCTCCTTGGCTACTGTCCAGCAGAAGACATCCTGACACATCTGTTGATCAGGGCTGCGTCTAATCCATGGCTGTGTCCACAGAGAGCCCTACAGATGCTGGGAGCTATATGATCCAGGTCTAAGGTAAATTCTGAGCCCAGACTTCCACCCCTCCCCAAACCAGGAACTCACTGCTGATGATGACCCACCAACCCAGCCCCTGCTCACGTGTCTCCCACCAGGACAAAACCAACAAGCACCCCTTCATTTGTTTTTACACTGACTCTGCAAATGTTTGATCAAAAGTGAACAGATCTTGCAAAATGAGAGACAACTCCGTATAAACCAATGACAACTCAGGGAAAGGGGGGTCTGGGAGAACCCAGATCTGTGGTGGGCCGCTGGCCCCCAACAGTCACAACTGTCAGCATCACAATATTGTAAAGTAATTATCCTCCAATTAAAATAAATACATTTTAAAAAAGTATCACAGAGATAGACATATTCAGTTAGTTAGTTAGTAATTGTGTATCCCTTTGCCCAAAACAGACCAAATAAATCTTTGAGGGGAAAACCTCATCTTACCTCTATACTAAACCCAGGGCCCAATGCCTTGGGGGAAGCCCAGGAAACACTGGGGGGATAAAATTTCAGGAAGAGATGGGAAGATCTAGATCCAAGTAGGCCTTGGGTTATGTGTTATTTCCAGAATCACAGCCATTACAGGATTAGGGGCCTACAGGGGGTGGAGAGGGGGATACAGAACTTGAAAATTATTTCCCCAACTTGATCTCTTATGTTCCCCCCCAAAAAAGAAATGAGCCATCATGAATGATTCATCAGATCAACCAGCCACCAGCGTGCACACTGCTATATTTAAAACAGATAACCAACAAGGACATACTGTATAAAACAAGAAACTCTGCTCAGTGTTATGTGGCAGCCTGGAAGGGAGGGGAGTTTGGGGGAAAATGGATACATGTATATGTATGGCTGAGTCCCTGTGCCACGCACCTGAAACTATCACAACACTGTTAACTGGCCACTGTTGTTTAGTCGCCAAGTCATGTCCAACTCTTTATGACCCCAGGGACTGTAGGCTGCCAGGCTCCTCTGTCCATGGGATTCTCCAGGCAAGAATAATGAAATGGGTTGCCATATCCTTCTCCAAGGGATCTTCTTGACCCAGGGATCAAACCTGAGTCTCCTGCAGCTCCTGAATTGGCAGGCGGATTTTTTACCACTGAGCCACCAGGAAAGCCTCATTAATTGGCCATGTGAAGTGAAATTGCTCAGTCGTGTCTGAATCTTTGCGACCCCCATGGACAGTAGCCTGCACCAGGCTCCTCCGTCCATGGGATTTTCTAGGCAAGAGTACTGGAATGGGTTGCCATTAATTCGCCATACTTTAATACAAAAAAGTTAAAATAGTCTAAACGGCACAGAAGGACATTTTAAGTAATCAAGTGCACAATTCTCAAATCACTGCTATTTTCACATTTACACAAGACTAATCAAGAGGAATGAGAGCTGGCCTCAGTGTTATCAGTATTTCCACCCAAGCGGGATGCTGTGTATGATTCTGAAAACAGAACAAAGTAAACAGGTCATGCCCGACAGGTACTCTGCACAGGACGGCCTGAGCTTCAGCCCCTTGGCCCCTGTCACATGGTGGTCAGTTCCAGTGGGTGAAAACTCGAGCAGTCACCATGCCCTGTGTCCAGCAGTACATACATGTTAGGGACCACTCAGCTCTCTCTTGGGGCCTCCAGTTTTCAAGAAGCAATGTGTAGTTTCAAGATCTGTTCATTTTTAGAAGCATATACGTTCTGTGCCAAAAGCCTGTGCTTTCTGATAAAGATAGAAGGCGACTTCAGTTTTACATTTAGGACCAGCCAGGCATTGAGCTAGTTTTAGAGACTCTTTAATCAGTTCATAGACAAAGCGGCATCGTACGGAGGGAGTGCGTGAGTCGGCGTCACTATGTGATAGACTCAATTTTACTTATGCCCCACAATCAGCAGATGACTTTCTGAATTTGCTTTTAATTTAAGGGCCTTAATTTAGCCTCCTGATGTGTCTCCTGTACATATGCATTACGGCAGTAAAACTGGTCGCTGTAGCAGAGACAGTAATTTTTAATTTTGTGGGCTCCTGAATAGAAACCTTGAAGTTAAGGACATGGGAGGACATGGGAGGAATTAAGTTTACACCAAGCAAGGGGTGCCGAACCTTCGGAGAACACTCATTCCAGCATCTCTGTGCTTCTGATCTATGTGCTAAAATGCACTGTTACACGTCACCAAGTTCTAAAGGAAGCCTGAGGATGAACTGGGCCAGGGCGTCTCAGTTTGTGCCCCCAAGTCCAGTAGCCTCACCTGGGTGCTTGTCAGAAAAAGCGAATTTTCAGGCCCCACCGCAGACCCCCTGAATGAGCAGCTCAGGGGCAGGGCCGTCCAGGGGCTTCAAATGCAGTTTGAGATGAGGTCTGAGTGAACCACCCACGGTGCTTTCAAGTGTTCAGGGCCATGAGAACAAGACAGGAATGTGATTTATGTGCTAAGACGCACCTTGGAGGACGTGGCTCCGTGACAAAGCCCACCCCCAGGCTGGGGAAGCCTGTCTGACTCTGTCCTGAGAGGTCAGACCTTGCTCTAGATACTGCCTGCAGGGGACCCCCTGGGTGGCACAACCCAGATTCTCTTCCCGTCTCAAGAAGCCAGCCCCCTGGATGTGACAAGAAAAGGGGCTGCTCCAGAGGTGGGGAGCGGGGAGCGGATCCCCGAGAATTTGGCACCACCAGTCTTGGTCCTTACAGGCTCGTCTTTCCCAAAAGCCTGGGGGAAGTTGTGTGAAGGATGGAGCCACACTGGTCTGCACTGACTGTGGGCGCTGGGCAGGAAGACTCGGCGACACTCTGAAGCCAAGCATGTCACAGAATCTTGACAGGTATCTGCTGGCTCAACCATACTGAGAAGAGGAATGAAGCCCACGAGCCCAGCATCTGGGGTGGGACTGACTTGCAGTCACAGGCCCCTAGAGGTTGGTGAGATGCCACAGACACCATCTCCGGTGGGCCAGCACTTTCCTCGCCCGCATCTTGAGACCAAAATGTCAACACTTCTTGCAGAGTTTCTCCTGCAAGTCAAGAAGGAACTGTTTTCAAAGGACAGGCGGTAAAGACTCCTGGCAGTGGAGAGAAGAGGTGGGCTTACCGGCCTCCAGGAAAGAAATGTTTACTGAGAGCCGAGCAGAGCAGTATGTAAACCTTCCTCCCTCCATCTGGGCTCCTCAACTTATCTCATCAGACAAGGTGTTTCCCCTTCACTGGCTGAGGAACCACAGAAAAGTGAAGTCATGTCTGATTCGTTGCGACCCCGTGGACTGTAACCTGCCAGGTTCCTCCATCCATGGGATTTTCCAGGCAAGAATACTGGAGTGAGTTGCCATTTCCTTCTCCAGGAGATCTTCCCAACCCAGGGATAGAACCCGGGTCTCTCACACTGCAGGCAGACTCTTTACCATCTGAGCCAC